GTTAATTTCGAGGCCTACTCCCGGTTAGTAGCTACAGCTCACGCAAGGCTAGGGAGTGTTCGGGAGGCCACTTTCAAGAATATGTGACAGGGGCTATGGTCCATCGTCACATCGTTTTCTGTCCACCCTACTTTTCGTAACTGTACCCTAATGCACAATCTCCAATGACATTTCTTTCTCCCTTTACCTATGTATTTCCTATATCTTAATTCTAACTTTGTAGTTTGTAGTATAACATGCATACGTGCTGCTACAGGTGTACGTCAATATCCTCTAACCCTGCTTTTTATTTCATACATTAAATGTGCAAGACCCAAAAATATGCCTGTCACCGGAATATCACTTCAGAATTCAAGCTCTCTTTTGATGGATTTGCGGACTATATAATAACGCGAAAAAAAGATCATTATGTCAAACCTCGGAGTCAAACCTAATAGTTTTAAAGTTTTACAAGTGGCAGATTCAGGCCGTAAGAACGGTTATGTCATGGTTGTGTGAACATGTAGGGCGCAATTTCATGGACCTGATGAATTAATTATACGCCGTGTGGGACTGGTGATATTCTCTGCTTATGAATAGTAATATTTCATACCAGTTCCTGAAGGAATGTGCAATAATACAGCTGGCAAAAGGCACCACACACGTATGGAAAGCGGCCACGGAAAAGGCCAAAGTTGTAAATATGTCAGAACCGCTAGATTTTACAACAATGGCAATATGCAATGGTCAAAAAAGGCCTAGGGGGTTTCAAATGCTTGTTTTTAAAGAAACACAACAGTGAGATAGTATATAGTCTTTTACTGATCAGATGTGCCCCGTTAATACGGTATGGCGATAATGTTAAAATTTTACTATTAACACAAACATTATACTGATGGCACCAAGCGATTCTAGCTCTATTTGACTTGTGGACATGTCCGTCAAATAGATGTAGAGGTAAAACACTCCATTTTGTACCTATTATACATGTATATCGCAATTAATTACTTGTCAATTAATTTGACAAGCGACTTGAATATTGTTGTTTTGTGTGTATGTGGGGTAACAAAATAAGTTGTTCTTGTCCTTTTTGTAATGCTAATAAAAGAAGATAGTAGTCTAGAAATATAGGCTCGTTAAAGGGCCCTGGAGAAACGCGTATGTTTCAGCAAATTGAGAGTTTAACACAAATCCAAGCAGATGTTGCATCATTTCCTTGCATTCGACAGAGTGCCCCCCTCCCCATCCTCAAACATTTTCCAGATCTTGCCAAACCCTTTCATCTAGTGATCAATTACTGTGTTGTCGACATTTAACAATCTACATAAAGTATATGCATGATACAGCTTTATGACGATATTGGAGACATAGAAATATACAATGTCAATGAAACTGTCAACCTCATACACTCCTAAGGAGCAATAACTGATCCTTATTACTCCCAAGACGTAAACATTTATGGTGAGGTTAATCTTCCTTTCTTCCTCTTCACTTAACAAAAGGGTCCCGTGTTGGTTATAATAAAGCTATTGTTATTCACAGACTGTATATTATGTGGGTTTTAAGACAATTCTGGATCTCATATTCTGTTGCAATGGTTTATATTTGTACAGAAGTTTTCGTTGTAAAGTGCTAATGAATAGTTCTAGTTGTGTGTTTGGAGGCATTTTTTGACAAGTTAGCCAATATTTGATATCTTTGAATGTACAAATTCATGGAGTTATTTGCGGTTGAAAACTGACGAGTTTTCGATTGCATTCTTATAATCTATTACAGTTCGACCTTTTTAATGGTTGGAACGAGGACATTCGCCATTCTTAGTGGTAGGTTAAGTGTTTTGTTTTGTGCTGTGTTTGTTTCCCATATACATATTCAAGGATGTCACCTTGAATATAACGCCTTGCCGTATGTTTGTGTCTTTCTACTCAGATGAAGCAGAAGAATAGACACTTTCATTATTGATGAATATCAGATGTGCATTTGAGCAACGATAATCTATTTCTTGGCCACACAAGACGTATAGTTTTTACTCTATGTTTTTTCTAAGCGAAATATCTTCCTTATATAACCTACGATCTGTAAGGTGTATAAGTACAAAGGTTAGATTTGATAATGCCCCGATTAACCATAAAAAGTGACTCAACGAAGCAAACGATAGTCGATATTCTTCCTCCTAGTCAGGACATAAAACGTGAGTGTAAGTATATTGCTCCCAATTGGATCTTAATAGACTTTCCCGGGGTCATGAATAATTAATCAAGCTATGATGGTCCCTGCTATTTGATGTTGATGGCGTTATAATGACTCAGATGACTTCTTTCTGTGCGAACAATAAGGCTACAGCAAGTAAATTTTATGGATGATATCCTCCACAGATTACAAATCTAATGCGAGCGGGCGAAAAAAAGAAGGCGGGCCGAAAAAAACAAGGTTCCTACAATTTCAAATTTTGACTTTGATTCAGTAGTAACATCATATATAGACAGCCGGCATCACATATCACTGCATCAAAGTAAGAAACAGAACATAAATTCAAAGCCTGGCAACAGACATCTTTGCCCTTTTTCGGCATAATGACAAATTTTTTTTTTTCAAAATCAGGCGAAAATTAATGCGCGCGCTGATGTCATCCATAAAAATTACTTGCTGTGGCCTTAAAATGAATCAGATGACTTCTTTCTGTGCGAACAATAAGGGGCTTACTACATCAGAGCCTTTGGGACGGGAGTTTGCATTTAAGGTTGCGTCTTGGAGAGGGGGAGGCGTTTATGTATTCTTAAGGTGTTACCAGGTTAAAATGTACAAGGTGAAGGCGTCCAATCCCTTTGGTAGTACTTAAGCAGAACTGCGCTCCACAATATTTCTTAGAAACATCAGGGAGAGGAAATAAGGAATACAGATTGCAATATTGCAGCAAGTCTCGAGCATAAGAAGTAATTTATGATATTGTTATTGCATTTTCATATCTCCATTAAGACAATTTACCCGCACTTGTATCTTCATCAAGCGCAGTTTGTTCATATTATCAAAAATAAATGGAGAAAACGATATGCTTGAATTAGTTAAGTAAACAGTACGTGACACGGAATAAACTCAAATGTTACACGTTCTGAGAATTAATGATACACACAAAAAAGCACGAGCAAAGAAATAATGATGGAAAGGGAACATGAACGTTCATGTAGTAGCTATTGCTAAAGGATGGTGGAAAGTCTCTAATTCATAGGTACGATTTGTCATGATGCACTAAAAGATTTTTTACATCATTTCAAATTCGTTTGACGTACCATTATGTCGAGCACCGAGGGCGCAAGGCGTCACAATCCTAGGTGGGGTCCAGGGGCATGCTCCCCCGGGAAAATGCTGAAATATTGACCCTCTAAAACGCTATTTCCTGTATCTTGAGGGGCAAATTTTTCCGGTAGAATAAGCTTAATTATATATCCCTGTCATATCTTTACTTGTCAATCTTGTCCGTCAAAGATGACAGATTGGCCAAAAGTTTTTTTCCAATATGAGCAGCAAACTTTCGACTGAAAACGGATGCTGGCTTGAGTCTCTATTGTGGGAGGGGGGAAGAGAGTACTTCTACAAGGGTGTGGCTCTAGTTCCATCGTAAATATCACACTATCAATAATTGACCAATCACTCAGCGCCTTCGGCTATTCCATCTACAAACTTTTGGGTTTGATGTATGATGTCGATTTGTCTTCGTTAGACTACAAACGACATGCAACAATTCATATTCTAACCCCGAAGCCATCCGGTCAACTCATCGATCATACACTACAAGAAAATGGATGTAGGTTCTTCGGATGTCAGGACGAAAGAGACCAAAAGATGCACCGATTTTGGAACGCTTTCAATATATTTCTTCTGTAGGAATTGTACACGTACGTGAATAGTTTCATCAGGATGGTAAGTCACTGAATAAAGAGACTCTTTTTACACAACGCAGTGTTTTTAGTCTGTCAAGTTTTTGTTAAACAACATAAAAAGTATAAGGCACAGCTCTAGGTGGACAACACTAGCAAATTGCTAATTCTAGCCTCACCACTGACAAAGAAAATACAATTTAAGACAAAGAACAAAACAGCGAATAGAAGTTCCAAAATACAAAGATAACATGTAAATGGATCATTCTGTCAAATTGAATTTTTCTGATAGGTGTGTTAAAGCATTTAAAGTCAATTCTAAACCGTTTTGTGTCATCACCTTCTTCAGGGCAATTTCGACTGGTTCACATTTCATAGCACAAGTGATAGGGAATGCATCTGTTGCAGCGACACCTGTGCTCTGCAATGTGAACCAGTCAGAATTGCCCCGAGGAAGGTGACGGTCACCAAAACGTCAGCTGAATAAAACACTTGGCTGTGTTAAAGGAGTCTCTTTATTCAGAAATGCACACTGCTTAAAAATTTGTGGAAATCCACTTTTCTGTTCACCTATCATGGGCTCTATTGGAAATCAGTACTATATGGCTGAATGGACTACCAATTATGATAAATAAATGATAATAATCTTCAATGTAGATCCGTGGCCTAAGGCTAACTGCAATTGACAAAATGATAACGCACATTAGCAGCCAGTGAACACAGAACAAGATGTCTAATCTACTGTACGATTCTTATAATATTATTAACTGTGTTATGCTGAAGTGAGGAAATCTACGTACAGTGAATGTACTAGCTTTATAGTCAGTTTCTTGGGACTTCAATGAGTAAGGTCTTGAAAGAGACACACTGTCTCGATCAGCAATCCACAGGGGGCCATAGATGACCATTAATGACCAGAGATGACCATCGGTGACCATGTCCCAAATTCCCTAGGTCCAAGGAGCAACACCATGCCCATATTTAGGTCTAAGAAACCAGGAAAAAGGGATTACGTCGTATGACTAGGTTTTAAGGAATGTAGACTGGGAATACTGACTAATAAAGTGTGGGAGTACTTCCTGCCATAAAAGATCGATATAACGGTATAAATATGTAACGGTATAAATCGGATCTGGTTGGATCTTGCGTCAGTCAGTAAGAATCCTGTGAAGCAGTACGCTTTGGTGGCCAGAATTTTGAAGAAGCCCCTAAGTGAAAGCGGCATACCACGTAAGTTTTCTCTTTTAGTACTGTATTAGCTCGATACAATGTAATATGTATGTGAAAGCGATACTGTCATGATTTGTAATCTCCTAGTTATATCAAGCCTACTGTTTATCTATTTTAAAGGCATTCAATGCAATTTCGGGGCGACAAAACTGGAGTTTCAGGTTTTTGTGCATTCTTTTAATGTAGTAAGTTGAATCAATCCTATCACATATCATACCAGGGCTCTAGCCAGCTTGGAATTTTTCCCCGTCAGCCCAGATTAATCATTGGGTTTGGGCGCTCGCAATCTAGGGGATCCGAAGGCATGCCCCCCCCCCCCTGGAAATTTTGGATTTGATATCTGTGAGGCAAAAATGCGAAGTAAATGTGAGAAAACGGTCGCTTGTACGTATCATAGTGATTATTTCCAACCATAGCTTAAGTCCATCATGATTATAATATAAAACTGTGGATTATTTGGCATCTACATAGCCACCAATGGATTTATGAATTAATAACCGTGGCCTAAATATGCACACTAGAATTTGTTATTAATAAATAAGAAGGGACAAAATTAGGTCGACCATTATGTATCTTTAGTGCATGTCATCTATTAAGTGTTGAAATGAAATTTTAATACTGATATATGATAACCTCTAAAAGCTCTTATGACCCTTGACGTAACTGTGAAATATGAAAACTGAAATGGTAATTACTCCAAGTTGTCTCAATGCGTCATAACAATAAGAAATAATTTGGCTTTTATAAATCATCTAATATGAAAATGCTTATGCTTGCGTCATTTTGTGTCTATGTTTTGTTTACTATAAATGGGGTAAACTTGATCACCTGTTCAGGCATGTAATCATATTTGTCAGTTCATTTAGGTCATTCAAACAGTTGATTTCAAGTCAATTGAGTATATGAAACATTTGGATGCAAGATAGGCAACCATGTGGAACAATAGTCGTACCCGAACAAGTCCGAACATGCGCCCGACGTTGTACCCTTAGGAAAGGTAATTTACACGACTTTCTTCACTTCACTCAGGTGAAAATGAGTACTTAGCCTCGGTTAGGGCCGTCCTCGGATAGGACGTTAAATGGAGGTCCCGTGTTTGGGAGAGCCACACCCCACGCACGTTAAAGAACCCACTGCACTTATCGAAAAGAGTAGGGGACCTTCCCGGTGTGAGTGGTTCAAACCTTGCAGTCTGGTCTCGGGGTTGACATCTTTGGAAAGGTGATGGTCATCTGTTATGTCAATCCTTCCACAAATGTGGTAAATCTTAATAAATAAATTAATAGGGTGGGGTGTAGGGTGTAGACGGAGGACGCCACACACATCATTTGCACCTTTGAACTATCGCTCACTGAGCCACGTGTTCTCATTTGCATATAAAGTCACGTCAGAAAAACCATGCGTGTATTTCTTCACAGAGATGGTGTTGTGCAGTGGAAAATTTGGACAGATTTATAAGCAAAGATCATCTTTCGTACTTGTTTTGTGAAGCGTTCAATTTTAATATCTCCGTTCAAAGAAGAAGTCTTGGCAAAGAGTACGTTTCTTCAAACACACTTTCCGGCTTTCAACTATCTACATAAGTATGATATTTCACAAATCTAATCCAATGCCGAAACTGCTAAAGGTTATCTATTCCTTCAGGATTGTGCCTCTTTTGTGTGTTCTGCCTTTCAGTTGAAAAAGGGCAGGGACCTTGTTGTAAGAATCGGGTGAAGATTACGAACCTGTAAGTTTAAAGGGGTTCCGCTGTCAGTTCCGATCTAGTTCAAACTTACCCCGTCTGCCACAAACTTGTAATTAAGACGTCTGTGTAGCTTTGCAGCGGGTAAAGTCAGACTGAAGGTCAGAGTAGTTTGAATAAGTATCCTTCCGCAGCTGTTTGTGTCGTTATGTTGTCTGTCTCGTACATTGTACGGCTCAAATGAATCTACGGTTCAGAATGAATCAGTCTTTGTTAGAATCGAGCGTTCAGACAGTTTCCAGTCGATGTCAGAACTTAACCTAGTCAGCAGCCTTTCCTGAGGCTACAGGCTGAGTTTCCTCGGCACTGGGAGCTTCTATTCCGGCCGGACCAACTAAGCCCGCCCCGGTGACTTCGCCTTCCTGGATTCGGGTAACTAGGTAAGGGGGCCGTGGTAGAATTTCTTCGTGGGAGGGATTGGGGGGTGGGGGTGCATGTTGGCCCTGATGCCGCAAGACTGGCCTGTGTAGGCCTGGTAACAGTCTGAATACATGGTTAGACATACTCTCAAAGCAAAGGTTTAGGCTTCGGCTTAATTTTGGCGTGTTATAAGCGTTGAATCGGGCTTTCTTTTTGGTTCTGGTATATTTTTGTTGTCCATTACGCTACCTCGGGTGCCAAATGGTAACTGTCTGGCAAATGGATCCTGCCTGGCTACTGTCTTTGCAGCCACCGAAAGATCTGCTTAGAAATTAGTTAGCCAAGGTACGTTCTTCGTATACTAGCCTGTGAGAGAGATGGGATCATTACTTCGATCTGTTGCGCCCTAACGTGAGAATATGAGGACAAGTTTGTCATGATCAAATATCTGTGCCGCTGGCCTCACCATAACATGCAGAAGCAACCTTCAAGCGCTGAACATTACGACCACTGTCTTCGATACCAGGACATATCTAGAAGAGATAATCTCAGATATTCTAAAATAATCAGCTCTAGATCTACTATTGCTATTTAGGAAGTGGAGGTGCCAAAATATGATGCCTTACTGTTTATAATCTGGAGGCACAGCTGTCAGCCATGTTTGTTTACATTCTGGTATTTTGTGGTGGTACCACAAACTGAGTGCGTTTCGTGTGGCCGCAAAACTTAAATGTCAGAATTTGACAAATTCCACACAAATGTTGAAAGCTGTTGTTGAATATTTTTAGATGAAATATTTCAGTTTTAGAGCACAAATGTTGCATACTGCCCCCTTTAACTCTTAAAACAGTTGTAAGATCACTGTTCTGTCCAATACGCCTCGAAGTGTATAAAATATAACTTGCACGTAATGCACTTTAATCCATTAAGCATCCTTCATACTATTGATTAATCTATACATATGTGATCTAGCCTATTAACAGAAGTTTCAAGTGTCGATTTAAGGGTTGCCTGCGGTTACAATTATTGTTAAAAATTAACATGGGTATCATATCTGATGAAGGTGTCTATTGAAAACCGATATATACTAATACATGCAAGGACGTAACTACTGCATTCAATAGATCTCAAGAGATAACAAGTGTAGAAAATGTAGGGTCTTCATTGTATCACCGTGTCGAAGAAAAGTTTGTACATGTTCTAAATTAGTTCTTGTTGCAAGTTCATGCCTGAGGGCTAATTGGAAACTGACAAGGACAATGGGTACAAAATGTATTGAAGAATGGTACAAAACCATGTTCTAATATAAAGTTCTACTTCTGTATCTGTATCTGTATCTGTATAGCCGGTATAACCGCCTTTCGGCGTAACACACCAGCTTCGCAGGCACGCGGCGCGGCGGCAGCTGGCTATATTACACCGATCGACTTGTTACACCTAACCCTTGAACTTCTAGCTCTAGACATTGTTTAAAGCTATCTATTGACAATGCCCCTACTGTACTTGGTGACACTGAGTTCCACTCTGCGATAGTTCTAGGAAACAATGAATTCTTGAACACCTCAATCCTTGGTTGATAACTCTTCTACTACTCTTAGGTTTTATTTCTACTACTCTTAGGTTTTATTTCTACTTAAATGCATCTCATATGCTATTCCATGGTATATTACGCCCATCAATATAGGAAGGCAGCAATTAGAATGCGGTGACATTTTGTTCAAATACATCAAAATAACGACTAATTGTGGAAATACGTCATGATAGAAATCGCGATCAATAAGAAATCCATAAAACTTATCGATTTTTATCAATGCCTGAAGGAGAGACAGACCCAATCACCCATACCTTACTATATTGTAACTTATATATTGTTATTGATAAAAGTTTGTAGCTATAATTGTAAGATAGTTTAGTATTGTAGTATTGTTGTCTTACTGGCATAAATGGTACCATGTACGATTACCAAGCAATAAAGTCCCTTTCTTTTTCCCCTCCTTTTTTCCTTCCTTCCTCCTTTCATCCTCCCTCTCTTCCTTCCTTCTTTCCCTCCTTTTTTCCTTCCTTCCTCCTTTCATCCTCCCTCCCTTCCTTCATTCCCTCCTTCCTTCTATCCCTCTTTCCTTCCTCCTTTCCTTCCTTCCCTCCTTCCTTCCTTCTATCCCTTTTTCCTCCCTTCCTTTCTTTCCTCCCTCCCTCCTTCCTTCCTCCCCCTCCTTTCCTTCCCTCCTTTCCTTCCCTCTTTCCTTCCTTCATTCCTTCTCTCTATTTGAGAAACGTCGTTCGGAAGTATTCAATCCAACTTCCAGCAGTGAAATCAGGAGTAGGAGCAAATCCGGACAGGATCTCATCTATCTGCGGGCCACCTGGCCACCCGTCCTGTCCATCTCCCTGACCTTCTCCCTCCTTCCCCCGTCAAAAGAGGATTACCATATTTTTCAGGGCCAATAAAAGCACATTAAGGTCGTCGAAAGTTCACAATACACGGGACATCCACCCCACTCCACTCGATATTGGCTTTCCAGAATTGCTTTGGCCTTCGGCGCATGCTTGGAAGATATGGTTAGAGCTCGGCAGCCTGTACATAATGGTGCTATAATGGGCTTTTTATAAGACAGCTATCAAACCATCCAACTCAATTACCTGTATGATCGATTAGTAGGAGAAGAGACAGCACAAGAGTTCCCCGAAGAGTGGCAGAAACGGTGCCAAAAGTCCAACATGATTAAACGAATGGTCATAACGCTGGCGCGATAGAAAGATAACTCATTTTTATAGTGTGCGTAGAATGGCTCCCTAGTCTATGATTTTTAAAAAGTTGGATAATGAATAGTATCATTTGTGCGCCGCAAAATTGTCTAGTGAGTATGTCTGCAAAAATATAGGTCTGTGTTTGAAA